ATTGTTTGCACAGTTACAAGCAATGTATTCCCATGTGGGTCTCTGATTAAGGTTGGGAGGGTCAGGTGTGGAGGAAAATGGATGGAACACACGTTTCTGTCTTTTTTCCTTCCTGTATTCACACAAGAGGAAAGGGAGAGGACTGCTCCTTGCTGTTGAACAGTATCAGCACCCAGGGATATACGGAAGAGTGTTCCAAGGATGTTACTTGAGTGGTCTTGAGAGCCCTGAGATGGTATCCGTTTAGTTGCTCCATGGTTGAGAAAATCTTTCCAGTGTCTGCTGATTGAAAAAGTCCACCATAGTGTATCCCCAGATCCAGGAACATGCTGCCAAGCGTGACCAGGAGAATTGTCCAATCTGTTTTACTTTCCTTTCTCTGGTGAGGCAGTTGATGTGCCCTGCTGGCCGAGATAGGCTGACCATCATATCCCTATGTGCATCTGGACATGCTGTCTATTATACAAGCATCAGCAACTGAGGAGGCTCACTCCTGATACATGCACAACAAAGTCAGACCTGTAATCTTTCCTATGGCTAGGGTCTGAGTTCAGCTGTCCTGTTGTGGTGTCCCCCAAGAATCCTCACCTAGGGTTGCTTCAGACTTCACTTGTGTGCCCCAGCCAGTACAGGGTCAGGTGCAATTAATCACCTGCACCAGCAGAAACTGGTGGATGCAGCTGCCTGTTCAGTTCTATCCCCAGCCCAGGAGTAAGTGATCAGATTTCCTGCATAGCAGTAGGGACCCAGATATTTGGATCATCATCTTGTCAACCCCAGGCATACCAACAAGTGGTTCAGAAGTGCAAAATAGGTGCCAGTGTTGTGGCATAGTGAGTTAAACCACTACCTTCAACATCTGCATCTCATATGGGTACTAGTTTGAGTCCTGGCTACCCCATTTCCAATCCAACTTCCTGCTAATATGCCTGGAAAGCAACAAAGGATGACCCAAGTGCTCCTGCATCCATGTGGTAGATCTGGAAGAAGCTTCTGGCTCCTGGCTTTGGGCCAGCCCAGCTGCTACTGTTATGTTCATTTCGGAAGTGAACCAGTAAATGGAAGATACTTCTTTGGTATGGTATAACTCTGCCTTTTAAATATATAGTAAGTAGGGTCCAGCATAATAGTGTAGCAGTTAAAGTGCTTGCCTTAAACATTCTGGGATCGCATCTGGTCACTGATTCTAATGCCGGCAGTCCCACTACCATCTAGCTCCCTGCCTGTGGCCTGAGAATGCAGGTGAGGACAGCCCAAAGCTTTGGGACCCTGCACCCACGTGGAGACCTGGAGGAAGCTCCTGACTCCTGGCTTTGGTTTGGCTCAGTTCTAGCTGTTGCGGCCACTTGGGGAGTGAACCATTGGACGGAAGATCTTCCTCTCTGTCTCTCCTCCTCTCTATATATCCGCCTTTCCGATACAAATAAATTTTTAAAATAAATTAATAAAATAAGTATATAATAAATAGTATTTTTCCATTTTTAAAGTTTTATTATGATGTTCCCATATTTGAGAAGAATGCAGCACATGAGGGCCATCAAATAGGGTGAGGAGGATCATAGTTTGGGGGAAGGTGGGTTGAACAAAGGCTTCCAATTTGTTTTTCTTCCCTTTTCTCCTAAATGGGTGGGAGGAAAGGGAGGAGGAAGGGGTGCTCCCAGCTACGAAACTACATCAGCTCCCCAGAGATGGAGTTGTCCAGTTGATGTCATCTTGAAAGCTCCAGTGTGGAAAAGAGTGTTCTGAAAGTATTATCTGAGAGTTTTGAGAGTTCTGAGATGCTGTTTATTTTGTCGCTCCGAGGCTGAGAAAGTCCTTTTAAGGTCCATTTGCTGACAGAATCCACCATAAGGCTATACTTGGGCGTACTGTCCATAGCACAGGCATCAGCATTTGAGGAGGCCCGATCCCAAAACATGCATTCCAAGGCCGGACCACAAACTCCGTGAATCTGCCTGTGGCTGGAGGTTTTTTGAGTCCAGTGGTACAATGGGGAGTCTCCCAAGAAACTTCACCTGAGGTGGCCCCAGACCTGACTCTTGCATGTGTCAGCCAGTACAGGGTCCGTTTCAGTCTGTCACCTGCATCAGCCTGTGCACACACTGGTAATTATAGTTGCCTGGTCAATTTTGTGCTCAGCCCCACGTCCCATGCAAGCCAACAAGTATTGTAGCCCAGTCCAGCCCATTGTGCCACACCAAGAAGAACTGCAGCTTAGTCAGGGCAACTCCAATAATCCCCACCAGGTCTTCCCCAACCCCAGTTCCTGTGCATGCCTACTTATATGCAGAAGATTAGTCTGAACAATGCCATATTCCAATCAGGCTCTCAAAAACACCTCTGGGTATTGAAGCTTAGCTCAGCTCACCCCACCACATGAAACACTCCACGTGTAATGCAGACAGGTACTGTCAGCTTGTCCAGCCTGGCCTGCCCCCAGCCCTGGCTCTCATGCTTTGGAGCTGCAGTTCACCAAAGGAGTGCCTAGAATTTCCCTACCAGATCAGTCCCAGTCCCAGATCTTGCACTTTCCAGGGAGTACTATGATCAAGTCTGACATGACTTGCACCCAGTCTGACAGCACTTGCCAGTGGATGCTACAGCAAAGCCAAATCAGTTGGCATTTATCCTGGCCCTTGCGTGTGCCAGCAGATGCAGTGCCCTGCCTTAGCCTGGCCCTCCCTCAAATGCAGCTCACATGTAGGCTGACTGTTGTTGCAGCCTTGCCCATGGGTTATTGCAACCAGTCTGCCCCTAGTCTCAGCTCTCATGCTCATCAGTGGGAACAGTGGCCTAGCAGGGGATCCCCCACAACACCGTCTGTCCCCCCTGCCCTGTCACCACCATTTGCTCCCAGTCTGGGTCGTGCATGTGCTGGTAGGTGTTACGGCTCTGTCATGGTGTGTCTCACCTCGGCATTCACTGGTGGATGCTTCAGCCTGGTTCCACCATGCCTGCCCCTGTCCCAGCTCATGCTGGAGAGTGTTTCAGCCAAGCCCAGCCTAGCCATCCCCCAGTCCTGGCCTTAAAGCAAACTGGTGGGTACTGCAGCCCAGCCTGGCTTGGCCTGCATCCTATCCTGACTCTGGTACCTACCAGTGGGTATTGCAGACAAGCCCAGCCCAGCCCACTCCCAGACCTGACCCACATTTTTGCCGATGGGTACTGTAGCCAGCTTTGGTCTTAACAGGAGAGTTCCCTTAGCTCCCCTATTAGACCAGCTCTCCAGTTGTGAATCTTCTACAGACTGGTGGGTGTTTGGCTCAGCTTAACTTGGCCCACTTCCAGTCCTGACCTTCACTGATGGCTACTGTGGCCTTGCCAGAGCAGCCCATGCCCATTCTGGCTTTGTTGGGTGTTACAGCCCAACACTGCTAGCTCCCTCCTGTCCCCCCAGACCTAGCTCTCATATGGATGAACAGGTGCCGCAACCTAGCCCAGCCTGTTTCATACCCGTTCTGGCTCTCATGAGTACCAGTGGGTACTGGATCCCAGCCCAGTCTGACACACCCCCAGACCTAGGCCACACACATGCTGAGACATGTTATAGCCATGTTCAGCAAGTCCTGCCCCCATTTCCAGCTTGTGGGAACTACAGCACAGCAGGAGTATCTCCTTAGCTCCCCTATCACATTCACTTCTCCCTATGGATGCTGTACATGCTGGTAATTGCTCGAAACCAGCCAAGCATGGCCTAACCTTTACCCTTCTTTTTAAAACTAATTTTTTAATGATTTTTTTTATTTTTATTGGAAAGCCAGATTTAGAGAGAGGAGGAGTGACAGAAAGATTCCATCTGCTGGTCAACTCCTCAAGTGGCCACAATGGCCAGAGCTGAGCCAATCTGAAGCCAGGAGCCAGGAAGTTCTTCTGGATCTCCCATGTGGATGCAGGGCCCAAGGCCTTGGACTATATTTCGCTGCTTTCCCAAACCACTAGCAGGGAGCTGGAAGGGAAGTGGAGCTGCCGGGATTTGAACTGGAACCCATATGGGATCTTGGTACATGTGAGATGAGGAATTTAGACCCTAGGCTACCTTGCCAGGCCCCTAACCCCCTTCTTACCCCATTCCCAGCTCTCACGCAAACTGGTGGATGTAATAGCCCAGCTGTTATGGCCTGTACCACATTGTGGCTCCTCTGCATGCCAATGTGCTACAGTTTGAACTGACATTGTCTGGTCCACCTCCCCACCCCCCGCAAGCCAGACCACACATGCCAACAAGTGGAGAGCAGCCTTACATGGTCTGGCCCATACCCAGCCCTGACTCACATGCTCACTGGCAGGAACTACAGCCCAGTAGGGGAGTTCTCCACGTTCCCCCACCAGGTCCACTCCTAGACCCAAATCTCATGCATGCCAGCAAGTATTAGTTTTCTAGCCGGTATAGCCTACCCCTCATCTCAGCCTTTGTGCTGGTGAATGTTGTGACCTGGCCTGCTCCAGACTCTATTCTTGGGTACACCTGTGGGTGCTGCAACCTGGACCAGTCCTGCCTGATCCCAACTCCAGTTCCTGTGTCACTGAGTTCCATGGTCATGCCTAACTCAATGCATCACTACCCCCAGCTATTGACAGACCAGTGGGTACTGCAGCTCCACAGGGGTGATCCCACAAATCCCCCACAAAATCTGTCCCCAGACCCAGTTCTGTTGCATGCTGTTAGTGTCAGATTGGCCCACCCCCATGTTCCTACATTCTTTGGTAGCTGCTATGGTCTAGCCCTGCCAGGCAGGCCCCCAGCCTTAGCTTTGGTGTGCACTGGCAAATGGTGGTTGATACTAGCTAGCCCAGCTCAGGTCTCCCACATGGTTGGGTACATTGGTCTGACCCAGGAAAATCCTGTTTTCCCTCCTCTGAACCACCCAGTCTCAGCTCCAAGTGCAGTAGCTTGGTCAGTGGAAGTCCCCCAGAAATCATTCCTCACCTGTAACATACTCCCTCAACTATCTTCCCTCCCAAAAAAGTTCCCATACCCTCTTGACCAATCTATAGCCCCAATGCCCACAAGTACGCGGATCCCAGAACCCAGTTTTCCAGTGGCATGGCATGCCTGCCTGAGGCTCTGGGATATGAACTGCAACCTTCCCAGGGCCCACGCCTGCCCAGACCCCATCTGCTGGTATGTTGATGTTATAGCATGCCAGCATCTTCCCCTAACATATCTTAAAAATATGCTTATACTAGGTAACTATGCTAACATACTGGTATAGTTAACAAAAATTTGGTTGGCATTAGCCAGGCCCAGCTATTAGCTATTAGCTGCCTTTCTAACAGCAGTGTAACACTTGCCTAGGTATGAGGCAACCTAGGCATTTACTTGCAACTAGGGATAAGTAGTAGCCAGAAATTGAAATGTGACTCTGATATGGCATACAGGTATCCCAAAAAGCAGTTGAATTTGTAGTGCATATTGCTGGTCTTAACGTGTCTTTAGCCTTTCTTTAATGTTAGCCTTTCATCTGTGTTGCAGTTTATTCGAGCTAGGACTTTATCAGTGGAGGATGTGACTGTGTACAGGCAGCTCCCTAAGCTTGAGGAGGTTTGCTGACCTAGATTTGAGCTCTCTATATCCTCCCTCTGCCCCTTTAGGATATGTTTAGTTGTTTGAAAGAGTTACAGAGAGAGGAGACGCAGAGAGGTCTTTTATATACTGGTTTCCCAAATGGTCTCTTTAGCTGGTGCTGGGCCAGGCCAAAGCCGATGTGAAGCCAGGAGCTTCTGTCAGGTCTCCCACATGGATGTGATGGCCCAAGGCCTTGGGCCATCCTCCACTGCCTGCTTCCCAGGTCTTATGCAAGAAAATGGATCAGACATGGAGCTGCCAGGACATAAACTGGTGCCCATATGGGATGCTACCATTGCAGGCAGCAGCTTAATCTGTTCTGTCACAATGCTAACCCTTTGAGGTCTTTTTGTGTTTTTCATTCATTCAGCAGAAATGCATCCATGACTTCATGGCACATGCGGGTCTCTTTGTGCTTGGGAAATTGTAGGGATGAGGCAGCCTTGCCCCTGCCCTAGTGAGCAAACAGCCTTGCAGGGACAACACCATATAGGCAAGCTGTGTGGGCTGTCATCTCATAACAGTGTTTCTGACAAGTAGTGTTGTGGGTTTTAATTTTATACAGCTTTTTGTAATTTTGCTATCTTCATACTTGCCCATCACATCTGAAATGAGAAGTAAGATGATGCTCCCTTTGCCCCAGCAACATGACCTTGGTGGTACCAGGATGCTTGGTCCTTGGAGTAGACCAGGAATCCCTCCAGGGCACCTTGAGGCCCAGGCCCTTCTCAGAACTTTTCCTTTTTCTTTCAGAACTGACAGCCCACAGTGTGCAAATGTCCACGCCTCAAAAGACTGTGCTAAGGCTTCCTCAGAATGAAGGTAGGTGTCCCTCACATGCTTAGTGCCTGCTGAGCACCAAAAATTTGTGTGTAGGGAGATTTCTCATGTAACCTGTCCACACCAATCCCAAAATGCTCCCTCACCAGGTTGTCCCTCTTTACCCAGTGTGGTTCAAAGTCTGGAATTGTGGAAGACTGGCAAGAGCATCATGACACTCTTGTCTCATCCACAGAGATCCAAGAAGCCACCGCCAAGCCCATTCTCTTACCCAGCCTTGACCATGCCTTGCAGCAGGGGCCCCTCCTTGGTACCCGGAGGCTCAGTAGCCCCACCTCACCTCCAACTCCCCCAAGACCCAAGAAGCTCAAGATGCAGTCACCAGGGGACATGTTCCCCAGCAACTGGAGCCCACCACCCATAGAGTTTCTAAGAGTGCTACAAACTGACAGGGAGGATGCGACACAAAGGCAGGTTGGGGCAGCAAGCCTTCAGAAACTGAGAAGCTCTTACAAGGACTTGGAGCATGAGTTGGACTCGGACTCAAAGGGGAGCACAGATTCACTGTCAATGTTGTGGAACAGGACAGGCCCTAGACGGCTGGCTGAGGTGAATAACCACACTCAGGTAAGCCAGTGACCACCCTTTGGCATCTTTCCTTGGCCATCTCTCTCTGGCAACCCCTTCTCAGTGACCAACAGCCTGCTCCCCCCACCTTTTTTTTTGCTACTTTCTCAGGCCTTGGACTCTTTGGGCAGGGGGTGCAGCCCATGAACCCTGTGTTTCTGCTTTTAACTAATACACATAAGTTAAGGTAGGGACCAAATTTTATATCCCTTCTGCATGGGACCCTCGAGGCTTTCATAGCTACAGTTGATTCTGGCCCTAGAACAAGGTGGAGCCTCGGGTTCTGGGCTTAGTTGCACACAGAGGCTTGGGCTGACCCTGACTGTGGGGATGATGGGGGATCCCTACGTGGGACTTCAGTGATGGACTTCAACTTGGCAGTGAACAACTGGTACCAGCCAGGCTGGGGACATTACAGGGTGACAAATCCGGAAGTTACTTTACAAATAGGGCTTCCATGGTTTGGAATATCCCAGGAATGTCAATCCAAATGTCTGCTGCTAGGATACTAGTAATAGAAATGGTGTTCTAGCCATTTATGAGAATCCCCTGCACATACATGCTACACATACACATACAGAGAGAAAATTGCATTGGCATTGATGAGATATGGATCACAGGACAAACGAGGTGCTTGCTTTATGCCACATATAGAAATTTATGGAATGTGAAATTAAAAGACAATTTTCTTGGCACAAAGATTTTTTAAATCTGTACATAGTTTTTCCATAGTGTATGTTTTTTAGTTAACTAAAGAACTCTCATGTTTTTATTTTCATTTATTTTAAGATTTATTTCTTTGAAAAGTAGAGTTATAAAAAGAGAGTGGGGCAGAGATAGAGATTTTCCGTTCACCAGTTCATGCCCACAACTGATAGACTTGCCTGCACCAGGTCCAAGCTGGGTATCCAGAACTCCAATCGGATTTCCCACGTGTTTGGCGGGGCATAAACACGTGGGTCATCCTCTATAGCTTTTCCAGGTGCATCAGCAGGGAGCTAGTGAGGCAGGGAGCCATATAACCCACTGTGTCATGATGCTGGCCCCATTGTATTGTTAACTGAACAGCACAAAGTGCAAGATTGTGTGTGTGTGGTATGCTATCATTATGTTAGGACAAGAATCTACAATACATGACTCTGCTTATCTGTATAAGTTGTCTCTGAAAGCACCCAAAAAATATCCAGCCATGGGTCACATCTGGGGAGTGAGATAAATAAGTTGTATTGTATATGTTTGTAGTTTTAATTTTTTAAATCATGAGGTGTGTTGCCTATTCAGAAGAGTGAAATGAGGGCAGGTGGCTGACCTAGCAGTTCATGTTAAGACACCTGCATCCTGGGGTTGCTGAGATGGCTCAGTTGGGCTAATCCTAAATCAAGTGCCAGGATTCCACATGGATGTGGGTTTGTTTCCTGGCAGCTCCACTTCCCATCCAGCTCCCTGCTTGTGGCCTGGGAAAGCAGCAGAGGATAGGCCAAGTTGGGTCTCTGCACCCACATGGGAAATCTGGAAGAAACTCCTGGCTTCAGACTTTGGATCAGTTCAGCTCTGGCCATTGTGGCCACCTGAGTAGTTAACCAGCAGTTAGAAGATTTTTCTCTGTCTCTCCCTCTTTGTAAATCTACCTTTCCAAAAAAGTCACCTCTGTTATAAGAGTTCCTGAATCTGAATCCTGATTCCCTCTTTCTGGTAATGCATGCCTGGGAGGCAGCAGGTAATGGCAGAAATCGTTGGGCTTCTGCCATCCACATAGGAGACCTGGATTGAGGGCCTGGCTCCCCACTTGAGACAGCTCCAGCCCTGGCCATTGTTGGCATTTGTGGAATGAAACAGCATGTGAGAATCCTCTGTGTCTCTCTCATTCTACATCCCAAATTAATTGATCAATTAATTTTTAGAAGAGTGAAGAATAGTTCATTTTAAAAATTTAATTTTTTTTATTGGAAAGTGAGAAGAAAGAGAAAGAAAGATTTTCCATCTGCTGATTCACTCCCCAAGTAGATTCAATGGCTGGAGCTGAGCTGAACTGAGCTGAAGCCAGGAGCCAGGAGCCAGGAGCCACTGTACCAGGCCCAGGAACCAGGAGTTTCTTCCAGAATTCCACATTGATACAGTGTCCCAATATTTTGGGGCATCCTCTACTGCTTTCCCAGGCCACAAGCAGGGAACTGCATGGGAAGCAGGACCACTAGGATTAAAGCCAGTGTCCATATGGGATACTGGTACATGTGAGGTGAGGACTTTAGCCATTAGACTATTGTGCTGGACCCAGAATACTTTAAAAAAAATTAAAGAGTTGATTTGGATTAATTATTTTCCCTTTTTTCTCCTGCCTTCTTTCTTGTTCTCACATCCTGTCTCTTTAGCTTACCTGTGAGGGCTCAGAGAAGTATATGAACAACTTGGATTTCCTGCTGCAGGAGAAGAGGTGAGCATGGTAGAGGAACCATCACGGAACAGTCACCTCTGTGGGTTTGGCAGCAGTTTCAGAACTCCCAGTGAATTCCTGCCAGAATAAAGCATCCCCCCTCACCCAGGTATAGAGTGGCCATGGGATCTGATGAATGCTATAGAACAAGCACAGAGGATAGTGGCCACATCCAAGGGAGGCATCTCCAGTGAAGGAGGAGAACCCCCAGACACCCACCACATATAGATCCCTCATTCCAGGTCTTCTCCCCGCCTAGAAACCGTTCTGCCCAGTTCATTCCAGTTTGGGAGTGTTCTATGAGAGGAAGCAGAAAAGCAGACCCTTTGGTGCCGAAGTGTACAACTTGACCTCAGCCTTGACTTTATACTGGTCAGACAAGAAATTTCTAACACTTCTGTCTGATCCATCCCAACCTAAGTAGGCTTTGCTCCCTTGCTCCCAGCACTTTATTTGTTTCACAGCTGCCTTCTCCCTTGTAGACAATCCAGCCTGTAGGATTTGGGTTCCAGAATAGCTTGTAGCTCATTCCTCCTCTGCACTTGGAATAGTTTCTAAAGGCAGCACAGAAGGGCACAAATCATTTGAAATCAGAATTAAAAATCCATTACTCAGGTGACACAAAAATTCATGACTGATGTTACCCATGCAGTTAAAGTGCCTGGTGACATGACCGACTTGCAGAGAGATTTCAGCTGCACACAGTATATGGGTGCCTGGCCCTTTGAGGTGTCAGGGGGCAGCTGCTTGTGTGTCGGGTCCTATTCCTGGAGCTGTGCTTTTTTTTCAGTGCAACATGGATTGCTTTCACTGTTTCATTCTTCATTACAGCTGCATGGGTTCAGGTAGGGAGGGCACAGTGCTGCTCTGGAGCACTTGTGGTTCTTGCTTTGCTGCAGCTGCCAGAAGGATAGATGCTCACTTTTCCTCCAGAGTGTCCCAGGCCCCATGTTCTTGCCCCAGAGGAGTGTTAAACGTATGTGTGAGTCAGTTAAGTGTGTTCTGCCTTTGCCTGGCCCTGGTCCTTTGCCCACCTTAGAGTTACCCCATCCTCCATGGAGCTCTTCTGGGCCTTATATCCCAAGACTTGTTGTTTGGCTCTTTACCTGAGTACATATTTTCTCTTACCTGAATTATAGATGAAGGAAGGAACCATGTCTGTTTGTAGCCCTGGGCTGTAAATACTTGAAAATGTTATCAGGAAAGCAAGCGATGTGCCTGGCCATAGGAAGTACTTCTGACTTAGCTTAGGCAAGATGTAGCAAAATACCAGACTAGGCTAACACAGCAGTTATTTCTCATAGTTATAAAGGCTGAAAGTTTAATATCAAGTCTCATCAAGTCCTGGTGAAGGCTCTCCTCCTGGCCACCTGATGACATTCTTTTTGAAGTGTCCTCTGGTGTCTCTGAATTATAAGGACACTAATCCTATCAGAGCAGAGCCCATCCTATGACTTCACTTAGCCTAGTAACTTCCTTACTCCAAGTGCAGCTACACTGGAGGGTTAGGACTTCAACGTGTGACTTCAAAGATTGTCTCAGAATGCTCTGTATTGGACCCCACATCAGGCAAGGGGTACAAGTAGCTGAAGGGGCAGCCACGACCCACTTGGAAATTTAGCAGAACTGATTCCGATATTTCCCATGCAGTGAAGTTGCTCTGAGGGGCCCTGAATAATGGACGTAGCTTAATCTGAAGGTCAGAAAAGGCTTCCCAGAGATGTACCAGGCAGGGTAGGATTTTTGTTTTGTTTTTGTGCGGAGGGTGACTGGTTCTGCATAGTTGTCTGGGTGAAGCTCTGCTGCTCCCAGCTGACTAAGATGAGAATTCCCAGTGCTGTAGGCAGGGAGGGGTGTCAGGAAAGCAGGCCAGATATGTGCACAAGTCATGGGAGAATTTTAAGCAGGCAGAGATCTGTTCCCTGTCCTAGCCCCTCCCCCATGTTGAAGAAATACCACACATGCTGCCTTTGGCAAATGGGTGGGAAGGATGAGAGGGGAACAGCACTCAGGCAGGCCTGAGGAGTGGGGTGACTCATACCCAGGAGGTCCCTGGGAGGAAGTGGATAGGTCTGGTAGTCTGGGTGGCCAGGACACTGGAGCCTATGTAGGGAAAAGGGATGTGGAATTGGATGTGGCTTGACAGAGAGTGGTCACTTTGGCTGAAAGTCAGGCACGCAGGACCTGAGTTCCTGGGCTAGTGGTGAAATATCTCAGAACTGAGGACACACAACCAGGGTGAGCATCTAGAGGGGCTAGAAAGGGAGCAAGGGAAGCTCCCAGTCCCCCTCAACAGCTTGTGAGAGCCAGAACAGGAAGGCTGAAGGGTCTGCTCTCCAGGTTTATGGTCAGGAGGTCAGGGCTCTATCAAGGTGACGGCAGAGGTGCTGGGGTCTGGTGTGGGTGCTGGTTACAAGGGAAGTGAGGTGCCCAGCTAGTAGGAGAAAATAAAGGACCTAAAGATAAAGGGTAGTGAGACATCAGGAATGAGCAGGCACTGGAGGGCTGCCCTTTGTAGCGGCAGTCAGGGCATGAGGGACCAAGGGCCCTGGAACTCCCCTGACATGTGTCTGGGCCCCTGGAAGAAGAGTGCTAGGCCCAGGCCTAGGTATGATGTGTTAACAGGGTATGTTTGGTGAGTACCAAAACAATACACAAATAATCACACACTTGGGTTATGTAAAGAAAAACAGCCTTCTTCAGGCCTGTCTGCTCATCTGGTATAGCACTCCAAAATCTAAACTCAAGTGCTTTGCTGTAGGGAAGCAGGAGCCACACAGCCCTTGACTCCACAGCCTGGTGACAAACCTGGACATGCAGGAGCATCAGTGACAACACTTGGCTTTGGCTGTCTTCTTCCCCACAGGGAACAGGCCCTGGAACAGGAACGAGAGAAGCAGCTCCTGCAGAACTGTCTGAATCTGGACTCCTTAGCTCTCAAGGAAGACCAAGTGCCATTGAAGCCTGAGCACAGGTGAGTGGCAGGGGCTTGGCTGTCACCAAGGGTCAAGGGTTTAAATGCCAGTCTACTCTCACCTGTAGACAGTTTTCTCCAGCCATCTGTGAGTTCTAAGCCTGCCTCCTCCTCTTAAAGCTGTATTCATTCATCCGTTCAAGAATATCCGACCACCTACTGTGCATCACGGTCTAGTGTAGGCCTTTGAAAACACAGAGATGATAAAACAGCCTGCTCTGCCCCAATTGTCTGCCCAGATCTCTTGGGAGAAATATACAAAGCCACTGTCTAACAGGAAAATGCCTTTTAAGGGAAAATTACAGGTATTGACATTTTCATCTTCTGTCTGGGAAGAAGAAGGTGGCTCTCCGAGTGCTGTCATCTGGGGTTCTGCCAGCTCTGATTTAATTGGGCCATTGGCTGGCAGGAGGGCTGGATTGATCTGTACCATGGATACAGAGATGCTCAGGGACCACAATTGAGTGTACCTTCAGGGCTCATTTTCCATCTGTCTTAGTCTGTTCTGGCAGATGAGGTGGCATATAAGCCATGGAAATTTCTCTCACACAGTTATGGAAGTTGGGAGTCTGAGATTAGGGTGCCAGCTAGCATAGTGGGTTTCTGTGAGGTTCCACCTCTGGGTCTCCTAGTGTTGACAGCTAAGTGACAGGTACGGGGATCAAGAACTCTCTTGGTTTATTTTATCATTCCACTAATCCCATTCATGTGGGCTGAATCCTTATGATCTACTCATGTTTCAAAGGTACCCCCCCCTTGCGAATGTAATCACATTGGAACCTAGGAATTCTTTTTTTTTTAAAGATTTGTTTATGTACTTGAAAGCATTACAGAGAGATGGAGAAACACAGAAAGTGATCTTCCACCGGCTGATTCAATCCACGAGTGGCTTCAACAGTCAAGGCCGGGCCTGGCCCAAGCCAGAAGGCAGGAGTTTTATTAAGTTCTCCTATAATGAGTTCAGGGGTCTAAGTGCTTGGGGGTGTCTTTTGCTGCTTTACCAGGTGCATCAACAGGGAGCTGGGCAGAAGTGGAGCAGCCGGTATATGAATTGGTGCCTATATCAAGACGCTGGTGTCACAGATGATAGTTTAAGCTGATACACTACAATGCTGGCCCTAGGAACTAAGGATTTCCTTTTTTTTTTTTTTTTGATTTATTTTATTTTTATTGGCAAGGCATATTTACAGAAAGATCTTCCAATCATTGGTTCAGTCTATAAGTGGCTACAATTGCCGGAGCTGAGCTGATCCAAAGCCAGGGTCCTAAGGCTTTGGGCCATAATCCACTGTTTTCCAAAGCCACAAGCAGGCAGCTGATTGGGAAATGGAGCAGCTGGGACATAAACTGGTTCTCCCTATTGGATGCTGGCACATGGAAAATGAGCCATTGCACTTAGCCTGCAGCTAGGATCTTAGTATAGAATTTAGAGAGGGCACAGATATTTAGTCTGTGAAATCATTTATCTGAGAATTGTCTTTCCATCTGTCCCATCCATCTGGCAAATGTGTATTGAGTGTCACCTGTGCCAGGCTCTGTAACAGCCTCTCAGGATATAGCAGAACAAACCCAACCAGATCTCTGCCCTTGTTTTGTATGCTTTCAGGTTAGGAATTTGAATACAATAAGCAAAACTAATTAAGTATGCCAAATATCAATGAGAAAGGATCAAATCAGAAGGGAAAGAATCAAGCCAGAAGGGGTGTGAGGTTTATGATGATGGGTCCTGGAGGGCTCTGTAAGCAGATGATGTTTTCAAAAAGAAATTTACATTGTATACTTTTGAATTATTTATACGGTTAGATTTTATTTGAAAATAAAAGCTGAGAGAAAGAGAGAATGCATCTTCTTACAATGATTTGGGCTGCCTCTGTCTGAAGCCAGGAGCCTGGAACTCAATCTAGTTTTCCCATGTGGATGTCAGAGACTCCAGTACTTAGGGCATTGCCTGCCACGTCACATGTACTGTGTTTGGCAGAAGGTGGAATTAGAAGCAGAGGCCCTGAATCCCAAGTACTCCCATAGAAGATTATGATGAACAGGCTAACTGTCACTGACGATGCTGATGTCCCATGTTGGAGTTGTGGTTCCAATCCCAGCTGCTCTGCTTCTCATCTAGCTTCCTGCTGATGCATCTGGGAAAGCAGAGGCATATGGCCCAAGTGATTGGGGTCCTAAACCCATGTGGGAGACCCCGGCTGAGTTTCAGGCTCTTGACTTTGAACTGGACTAGCTCCAGTCTTTGTGGCCATTTGGGAAGTGAGCCAGAGAATGGGCAATTGAGAGCTCTCAACTCTCTTTCTCTCTCTTTCACTCTTTCTCACTCACTCTCACTGTCCTTCCCTCTCTCCAATATGTCACTTACTTTTCAAATACGTGAAATAAATCTTGACAGGCAGAAAGACAAAAGACTTGATTTAGGGAGTTTCAGAGGTGGGATCTGTTCTGTAGTTTTGGTAAGGTGATAGTAGAACATTGGACTGCTAGCATGTCAGGAAAAAAAAAAAACCAGACCAGAGCAGGAAGTTAGCCTAGCAGCCATGACACTTGCCCCCACACCAGAGTACCCAGATGATTCCTGGCACTAGCTCCTCACCCCAACTTCATGAGACTGCAGATCCTGGCCGGATTGATGATGGCTCAAGTAATTGGGTTACTGCCACCCACATGGAAGACTTGAACTGAGTTCCCAGCTCCTGGCTTCAGGCACACCCTCCCCACACCACTATTTGAAAAGTGAACTAGCAAATGAAAACCTACCCATTCCACCCGCTCTTTCTTTTAAATTAAAAAAAAAAAAAAGAAAGGAAGGAAGGAAAGTAGAAATAATGGTGACCTTTACAAATGCAGCTCTGAAGGGCTGCTGGGAATAGGTTTGTGAAAGAATTGGGGAGAAGATAGAAGAGAAAAATGAATGGGCAGTACCTGAAGACAAAAGTGGGGTTAGGACATATCGGTTGCTTGTTTAATTTTTTTATTTTCTTATTCTTTTTTTCTCCTCTCATTTCTTTTTTTTTTTAAGATTTATTATATTTTTAACAGAAAGGCATATCTACAGAGAGAAAGAAAGAGAAATATCTTCCTTCCTCTGGTTCACTTCTCAAGTGGTCATAATGGCCTGAGCCTAATCTGGGTCTTGTACACTGATGGAGGGTCCCAAGGCATTTGGTCATCCTCAACTGCTTTACCAGGCAACATGCAGGGAGAAGGATGGGAAGTGGAGCAGCTGGGACACAAACTGGTGCCAGTATGGGATGTGGGTGCATGCAAGGCTAGAACTTAAGCCACTAGCAGCTACTTCCCCTTTTCTATGACTCTTGCCTACTTTCATAGAGGAAGTATTTGCATACCTATAGAAATGTCCCAAGTAAGACATAACTGATATAGGGAAGGAAGTTGAACTTCAGGAACTATGTGTCCAGGAGTCATATGGGGTACAGGAGGTGAGTGGCCTCTGCCACATTCTGTCTGGTCTTCTATCCAGAACATGCTTTCTAAGCCTAAGTCTGTGAGGGGTATTACAAAAAGTCTGGAAAATGGAATTAAAACATAAGTTTGTTTTGGCACAAAATAATTGAATATTTACACTTTATTTTTTTCACAATATATATTTTCTGTGAACTTGAAGACCCTGCACATATTTGGGTTTCAGAATGTTATGCACGAAGTAAAAGTTCATGAACTTTTTTAAAAAAGATCTATTTGTTTGTTTGTTTGTTTGTTTATATTGGAAAGGCAGATATACAGAGAGAAAACAGAGATTAAGATCTGACTGGGGACCAGTGCAGTAGCCTAATGGCTAAAGTCCTCAGCTTGCATGCTCCGTGATTCCATATAGGTACGGGTTTGTATCCCAGTTGCTGCACTTACCATCCATCTCACTGCCTATGGCCTGATAGAGCAGTAGAGTACGGCCCCAAAGCCTTAAGAATCTGTACCCATGTGGGAGACCTAGACGAAGTCCTGGCTCCTGGCTATGGATCGGCTCAGCTCCAGCTGATGCGGCCACATGGAGAGTGAACCAGAGGATGGAAAATCTTTATATTTCTCCTCTCTGTAAATATGACTTTCCAATAAAAACAAATAAATCTTTCAAAAAATATAAAGATCTTCTGTCTGCTGGTCCACCCTCCAAGTGGCCACAGTAGCCAAAGCTGAAGCTGAGCTGATCTGAAGCCAGGAGCCAGGAGCCTCCTCTGGGTCTCCCACTTGGGTGCAGAATCTCAAGGTATTGGGCAGTCCTCAACTACTTTCCCAGGCCATTAGCAGGGGTCTAGATGGGAAGTGGGACAACCCTGAGGGACCTCAGTGTTTTCTGCTTTTGTGGTTTCTGCCTTGCTTGCTTGGCTGAGGAGCTGTGTGAATTCCAGGCCTGAGAGTCTTTGTGATACCAGACAGGTCACATGGGCAGAGCACTCCTCAGGGGGAGGCCCCTGGTGTTAGGTAAGACTTGCTCACTAACCTATAACTCACCGATTTGTACTATTTGAAAGTTGCTTGCTTCAAATGCACCAACAGAAGCCTGCCAACTTGCTCTTTTTAAAAGTTAACAGTTAAACTGACCAATCATGACTATATAATTGTGTGGAATTGACCTGAAATGTATAAAACCCTTCTGCCTTCTTCTGCCCCTTCTGCCCCTTCTGCTTCTGCTGCTTCTGCTACTGCTATGCCCTCTCCCCCAATCCCGCTGGACTGGGGTGATGTGGGGTGATGGCCGGGAGCCTAGGCTAGTCCAAATAAACCACCTTTACGCGTTTGCATTGACTGCAGATTCCTGATGGTTTCTGGGGATCTCAAAATCTGGGTACAACCACCTGGACATGAACTTTTATAGAAGTATATATATATACTTAATAACAAGAGCAACAGAATTGAAGAAAGAGAAACAGAAAAAGGAAAGGTCTTCCATTTACTGGTTCCCTCTCCTAATGCCTACAACAGCCAGTGCTGGGCCAGGCTAAACATAGAAGCCAGGTCTGCAAAGCTGTGTCTCTCATGTGAGTAGCAGGGACCCAAGTACTTGGGCCATCTTCTGCTGCCTGCCCAGGTACATCAACAGGGAGTCGGATTGAAAGCAGAGCAGCAGGACCCGGTGGCGTGGCCTAGCAGCTAAGGTCCTCACCTTGAACGTGCTGGGATCCCATGTGGGCACCGGTTCTAATCCCGTAGCCTCCACATCCCATCCAGCTCCCTGCTTGCGGCCTGGGAAAGCAGTTGAGGATGACCCAACGCCTTGGGACCCTGTACCTGCATGGGAGACCTGGAGGAAGTTCCTGGCTCCTGGCTTCAGATTGGCGCAGCACTGGCCATTGTGGTCACTTGGGGAGAGAATCATCAGACAGAAGATCTTCCTCTTGTCTCTCCTCCTGTCTATATATCTGACTTTGCAATAAAAATAAATAAATCTTTAAAAAGAAAAAAAAAAAGAAGAAAGCAGAGCAGCAGCAGCACTCACACCAGCACTCAGTGCGGCATTGCATGTGGCAGCTTAACGTTTGTGCAGTAAGGTCAGCCTCTGTGTACTTTTCGAAGGATTGTTTTATTTAGCTCAGGCTGGGGTGGGTGAAGCATTGACATGTCCTCTGCGTTAGCATCCAGGTGGGGTTCCTAAGTGATGACTTAGGAAGTGACAGTGCCAGCCTTCCTCCAGGGCCCATGCCCGTAGGATCCCCAAATGGCTTTAGATACTTCATGCTTATTAGAGTTGTCCAGAGATGCCCATGAGCAATGGCTAGCTGTTGGCCTTTTTTCACTTGTTTTTCTGATAGGCATCTGTTTACAATGGTCAGCAGACTTTTCCTGTTGAGTTTGTAAGAGTAAATATTTTAGGCTGTGAGGGCTGGACAGTGTCTGTGGTGGTGACTCAGCTCTGCTGTGGTGGCTTGAAGCCCCCACTGCTGACATGTCAGTGTGAGCAATGACAATTTGTTTACAGACACTGACGGTGATGGGCAGGAGCCAGCCCACAAGCTATGGTCAATCTGACCCAGCCAAGGGCAATCCCTGCCTCCCGACTGGTCCTGGTCCTGTGCGAGTCTGGGGATGTGTGCATGTTCAAGTTGCCACACTGATCAGGGGCTCCTCCCACACTTCTCAGAGCCTAGGGGAAAGTTACCACAAAGTCACAGGTCAGATCCCAGGAGGACAGGTACTGCTGGTCCCTGTGTGAGGTAGAAGGAAGCAACTTGCCAGATGTGGTAGAGCATGAATGCTGAATTTAATCAACGTGCTGAGGGCCAGAGGGCCTCCCCCAGCTGGAGTGCCTTAGACCATCTTGTGGGAAAGCGGTTTCCTCTTAGCTGGGATGCCTGCCTTTAGTTTTTGGTCTCTTCACTTGCTGGCTAGATAGTCTTGGAATTAAACCTCTTCAAGCCTTTTAAAAATCCCTGAGCAAGAATAACATTTCCCGCTCTTTTTCTTTCTACCATGAACATCCAGGATTTTGGATGCCAGGGCTTGGGAATTTCAGAATTCCTCACACAAAGGGAGTTGTCTGTGCAGCCAAATGAAATCACTCATCATTTTCTAGGCACTTGATATTTTTCCAGGGGTGCTTTGAGAAAGCCTTGTTGATAGCAGCCACTTTGAGATGGTGATTTTGATGTGGGCTCGTTTTGATAAAACTATTCAACCTTCTGCTTTAAAAAAAATATATATATATATATACATATATATATGTGTGTGTGTGTGTATATAAATATATACACACATGTAACTCACTGATGTACCAAGGCAACAGCCTCTTCCATCCCTGAATGGGGCTAGGGAAGAGAGGGAGAGGCAGGGAAGGGGTATGGGTCAGCAAGGGGTGAGGCCGACGGTGGTGGATAGCCATCTTCTTGCAGACAGCGTGGCCTATGATTGCCATAACTAGTGGTCATCTAGAGTACAGTGTCTGCCTGTACTCTGAGAATTGGCTTGCATTTCAAATGGATGCCATCTTAATTCTCTGTTTCTTAAAGTGAAAAAACTGTACGATATGTGCTCAGACCAGGGGTTGTGGTAGGGGGAAGTGGATGCTTAAATGACAACATCATGCTTTATGCTCAGTTCTGGGCTGCACAGGAAATCTTCAATTAGACTTGTACGAGTCATCTCAGAACTCTTAATAATGCACATACATTATCATTAATATCACAAAACTTTCTTTGAGCCATGATTCTAGGGAAAAGGATAGAATGCCTTTACAACTGAGTCTGGTTCTTACAGATTTTTAATAATAGCCCAATTTGTTTTCTCTTACTGTGAAAGCAGTCTAAGAATCAAACCTCTAACAGCAAAGATGTGAACAAAACAAAATTATTTTACCATTTGTGAGGTAGTTTGCTGAGACTGTTTCTAAAAGCCTGCAGAATCAGAATCTTCTTAGGTTTCCATCACTTTTCCCATTCATGGTGCCATTTCGTCCTCGGGATAGCCCTGTGCTGTGGGTGGGGTCTTATCCTAAGTCACTTAGCCCGAGAGCCAGGCAGATTTTACTTGACCAGCCTGCCTGGAGCAGTGGACCCAGACTGTGCTGGTTGTGGCCCAGAGCTGATAAAGACCAGGCTGCCGCTCTGGACTGGCCATCTCAGGCAGTGGGCCTGCTGGGGACATTGATATGGAGATAGGGACTGACCCCTGGTGAGACAGGAGGCCACAGTGCTTACAGTATTGTCATTATTAAGTATGTGTCCTGTTGCTACAACATCAAACAGAAGAGTCATTTGAAATACACAGGAAATGTCTCCTCTTCCTCTCCCCTCCCTGTTTCTTTCGAAACCATCTTCCATGCTAGTTGGGTGTTATCCTGTGTGTGCAGAGGGTCACACGTGTTTCATGTTTGGGTGCATGCCTATGTATACAGCAGTCCTCCTTATTTGTGGTTTTGCTTTCTGTGGCTTCACTTAGATACAGCAAACTCTGTTTGAGTATATGATGGAAAATCCAAAAATGAGCAATTTTCACTTTTTTAGATGGGTAATACCCTGCAGAGTCACATGATGAACTCTCCATTGCGGCCTCCATCCCATCCAGGACATGGACCATCCATTTGTGTGGCAAATTAATTGTCATATCTCACCATGCTTGTGTTAGATGTAATAAGTAAACCTTATTTTACTTAGGCAGGGTTCCTGATGATGCTGAATCGAAGCGTGAAAGTGCTTCTTTAAGAGAATGAAAAATTAAAAAAGAAAGTCCTCAACTTTAACAGAGAAAGAAAAAATACCGTGCACTGTGATTACAAAGAGCAGATTTATCTGTGAAATTGTGAGGTGGGGAAAGAGAGATTCATGCTAGCTTTATTGCTAGTTCAAACTGCAGAAGTAGGGCCTGGCGGCATGGCCCAGCAGCTAAAGTCCTTGTCTTGAATGTGCTGGGATCCTATATGGGCACCAGTTCTAATCCCACAGCCTCCACATCCCATCCAGCTCCCTGCTTGTGGCCTGGGAAAGCAGTCAAGGATGACCCAATGCCTTGGGACCCTGTACCCGCATGGGAGACCTGGAGGAAGTTCCTGGCTCCTGGCTTCGGATTGGCACAGCACTGGCCATTGTGGTCACTTGGGGAGAGAATCATCAGACAGAAGATCTTCCTCTTGTCTCATCTCTCCTCCTGTCTATATATCTGACTTTGCAATAAAAACAAATAAATCCTTAAAAAAAAACCCAAACTGCAAAAGTCATGACAACAGTACATTAAGTGCTTGGATAAAGTGGAAACAGCATTAAATGGTAAGGTTTGGTAGAATCTGTGGTTTTGGGTATCCTCTGGAGGGAAGCCGTTCAGAACACATTCTGTGGATATGGTGATTCCTGTTTAGGTACACACATGCACATACACACATACTGTGCAACTTGCCAATTTTCTCCACTCAGAAGTTGTGGTCAGCTGTCGCTGCCAATCCTTTATCATGCAAGGATGCAAGGGTTTAGCTCATTCTCAGAAACCATCTCAACTGCCTTCCTTTATTCCATCCCCATATCATTGGGACCATTTACTCCCAATGGTTCCCTCTCTGAAGTAGCTCCTTGTTCCTCCCCAGTCCACTGGCCTGGTTCTGAGCTGCTTCATCTGGCCTTGGGTAAGGCAGGGTACAAGGACCTGTATCTCAGCAGGCCCTCTGCGTGACCTCATGGGCACTGGAACATGAGGCCTGCTGATCCAGAGGAGCATCCAGGCTCCTGCACTCACAGCAGAGCCCTGCTGCTGCCTCACATTTCTGCCCATGCTGTCCCCAAGGCTATTGTCTGCTAGCCTCTCCCAGGATGTCTTCTGTGACCCTGACTACTTCTAGCACTTCTCTCTGCCTATCAGGGTAGCATATGAGCCACTCTTGTGGTCAGTTGCTGGCTAGGGGCATTACAGGAATTTGTTTGCTATTCTTCGGTGGCCTGTACTTGACTCAGCCTTCGGTACCTTCCATCAGAGATTTGCAGAAAAGTTTGACCAGAGTGGAGTCAGTGGGTGGGACTTGAACAGAACCACATCTTCTGGCCCTCAGCTATCGCCCTGAAGGAGATATTGGACACACTGACAGAGTGGCAGAGTGGGCACTTCTTAGCCTACATCTATTAGGGTCTTCCTCCGTAAGCAGTTGCCACTCTCTGCCCCATCCCTGGCCTGCAACTGAGACCACAGAGCAGGAGTGTCTAAGCCTCACCTAGCCTTCCTGGGGAAGGTGCTCCTCTGATCCCTACTGTCCTGCCCTTTGCTTTGCCAGGATGCTGGTGGAGAAGTTCTCCGTGTCACTGCAGGTCATCCCGTCAGTGCCCCCAGGAGAGAAAGTGTTCCTGTCCAGGCATTACCCTCTGCCATGTGCCTTGGACACCTCAAACATGGAACCACACAACCACCTGGAAGGACTCTTCCTCAGGTAAGCTTGTGTAGGGTTGGGAGAGGTGAGCATTGTAGTCAGCACCCCCCTTCCTTGGGGGATCCCAGGGGTAAAAATCCAACGCAGGGGTGAACATTGTCATATAGTGGTTGGGCTACTCACATCCCATATCTGGTTGGAGCTTCTAATCCAACTTCCTGCCAGTGCACACACTGGAAGGCAGCAGGTAATGGCTCAGGTATTTAGTTCCTGCCACCCACGTGGTGATCTGGATGGGGTTTCTGGCTCTTGGCCCTGGCTGTTTTGGTTATTTGGATAGTGAACCAGCAGAATGAAGATCTGTGTCATCTGTTTCTCTCCTTGTCACTCTCCCTTTCAAATAATTTCTTAAAATTACTTGAAAAGCAGAATGACAAAGGTCTTCCATCTGTTGTTTCACTCCCCAAATGCACACAATAGCCAAAGCCAGGAGCCTGGAATTCAATTCAGGTCTCCCACATGGGTTATAGGGATCCCAAGGACTTGAACTATCACGTACTGCTCTCCCAAGGTGTGCCTTAGCAGGAAGCTGGATCAGAAACTGAAGCAGGACTCAAACTGGATTTGGGATGTGGGTGTCCCAAGTAGTGGTTTAACTACTACACAATGTCTCCCACCTCCAACAAAAGATTTTTTTTAAAGGTCAGCCTAAATAAGGAAATCTAAAGTGGTATTGTGGCCAATCTGCATATGTCAACTTTTCAGGAAATGGGTAGCATAGTCACATGTGTCTGTAACAATTTACTAATTTCAGTGCATATACTTTAAAAATCTGACATTATAGCGAATACTTAGCCCTGCATTTATGGGTGCGTATTGCTCTTTTTCTCCCTGACCTTGCGGTTTCCTGGAACAGGCCTGAGTCAGACTCATCCTGAATGGCCTTGGGGTTCTGTCTTCATCAGCACAGGGGGCCACTTTCTGGGTCATCCAGAGCATGTGATGGTCACTTTCCTCTGTGGTAGTTCCCCCTCATTTGTGGTTTCATACTTTTCTGCAGTTTCAGTTACCCACAGTAAAAATGCTCGGTTTAGAAATACTAAATGGATAGTTCTAGAATGAGGCAGTTCATAAGTTTTCAATTGCATGCCATTCTGGGTAGTATGATGGAATCTTTTACCGCCTTTCCCATCCTGCCCCAGACATGAATCCTCCTGTTGTTCACTGCACTCACACTGCATCCATTGCTTCCTGTCAATCCACAGCCTCTGGGTTCTCAGATTAACTGTCACAGTATTGCTGTGCCTTTTTCCTAGTCACCCTCATTTTGCTTCATAGCAAACCCAGAATACAAGAGTTTTGATATTGACAATTTGGATGTATCAAAGAAAAATTATAATATACTTCCTTCAAGTGAAAAGGTGAAAGTTCTCGATTGAATAAGAAAAGACATGAAGTCCCATTGTGGCCTGGGGGTAAAGCTGTCACCTGCAGTGCTGGCATTCCCATCCCAGCTGCTCTACTTCAATCAATTCCCTGCTAATTGCCTACTAAAAGCAGCAGAAGGTGGCCAAAGTATTTGGGCTTCTGTAAGTCATGTAGGAAACCCAAATGAAACTCCTGGCGTCTGCCTGGCTCAACCCTGGCCATTGCGGATATCTGGGGACTGAATTGGCACGTAAGGGGTATCTCTCTCCCTCTCACTTTGCATATCACTGTAATTCTGAATTTCAAATAACTATTTAGATATTTTTAAAAATAAGAAGAAAAATTTGCATATCACAATTCCTGAAATCTATGGAAGAATGAACCTCCAACCTATGACATTGTGAAAAAGGAAATAGAAATTGATGTTAGTCTTACTGTCATGACTCAGAGTACCAAAATTATAGGTAGAATGCATGATAAGTACTTAGGTAAGATGAAAAAGGAATTGAGGGCTCGGAACGGTGGCCTAGCGGCTAAAGTCCTTGCCTTGAACATGCCAGGATCCCATGTAGTCACTGGTTCTAATTCTGGCTGCCCCACTTCCCATCCAGCTTCCTGCTTGTGGCCTGAGAAAGCAGTCGAGGACGGCCCAAGGCCTTGGGACCCTGCACCCACATGGGGGACCTGGAAGAGCTCCTGGCTCCTGGCTTTGGATCGGTGCAGTACTGGCCATTGCGGTCACTTGGGGAGTGAATCATTGGATGGAAGATCTTCCTATCTGTCTCTCCTTCTCTCTGTATATCTGACTTTGCAATAAAAATAAATAAACCTTAAAAAAAAGAAAAAAAATGAATTTTAGGATTTGGCACACTCCACTCCATAGTTGTAGGTGTCCACTGAAGGTGTTGAGTCATATAGTCCAGGGATAAGAGGGGTGCTGTGTTCGTTGGAGGCACTGCACTCCCCAGTCTGTGTGATGGCAACACAGAAGGGTCTGTCCCCAGTTACAGGAGAAGCTGCCTACTTCTTCCTCTTTTCAGGAGTAAATTCATTAACATTGTCACATACCCACTGGATATGCTAATGTTTTTTAAAAAGATTTACCATATTAATATCTAATACTTATAAGCTAATAAATCCAAGAATAAGAGCAAAAAAATTGTCATCAGCATTCGGGGCAGTGGCCAGTCAGATTGGTCCCCTGCTAGGTTGGAGGCCAAAGCGATGGGGAAGGCACCAGGCTAGCCTAGACCATAAGGAACAGAGGTTGGGCTGCTTCTGTGGCCTCTTTGGCCACATGAGGACTTAAAACGTGAGTCTCTCTCTCTCTCTGTCTTTTAGATTTATTTATTTTTATTTGAAGGCAGATTTAGAGAGAGAAGGAGAGAAGAGATCCTCTGTCTGCTGGTTTACTTTACAACTGTCCACAATGGCTGGAACTGAGCTAATCTGAAGCCAGGAGCTCATCTGGGTCTCCCACGTGGATGCAGTGAGGCCCAAGGATATGGACCGTCCACTGCTGTTTTCCAAGGCCTCAAGCAGGGACCTGGTTTTTACTAAATGGAGCAGCCAGGGCTAAAACTGGTACCTGCGTGGGTTGCCAGTGCCTACAAGTGAAGGATTAGTCTCCTGAATCATAGCACCAGCCCCTATGTCTCTCTCCCCTTTCTGGCTACATAAGGGCTTCCTTATGTTTATTGCATTAATTCTAAGTCATCTTTTGCTGTAAATAGTGTATTTAAATAAATGTTACTTTAACATTTTGACGTTTCCTGTATAGATTTCTCTAGTGGCATATATAGCACATATAAAAAGAGGGTAATCAGTAGGATGTACCCCACCCCGACCTGTCACTTTCCCCAAGGAGCAACTCAAAAGCTAGCTTTGTCACTCTCTACCTCTTCCCATTGACTTCATCCCCTTAGGATTGCTTCAGGCAAATCTGAGACATACCTGTAATTTAGTCTGTAAGTCATTCAGTTTGTCTCTAAAGGGTGGGACTCTATTTTTAGGTAAAACTTTAATGTCATTATTACACCTAAAAAATAACAATTTATTTATTTTCATTTTATTTGAAAGACAGAGACAGATGGAAAAAGACCTTCTATCTATTTGTTCAAGCCCCAAATGCCCCAATAGCCAGGACTGGGCCAGGCTGAAGTTATAATCCTTGAACTATATCTGGATTTCCAAGATGGTTGGCAGGGACTTAGCATGAGCATGAGCCATCACTTCCTGCTTCCACAGCCACACGTTAGCAGGAGGCTGGTTCACAAGTATAGAAGCCATGGCAGGAAACAGGCATTCCAGAAACAGGCATCTCACGCAGCCTCTTCAGTTCTGTTGCAAATACCCACCCCTAATTTCTTAATATCATTTATATTGGTTAGTGTTCCCAGTGTCCTCAGTTGTTTTATAAATTTTGTTTTTATAAATAATTCATCATATTTGAACAAATTCAACACTGCAATCAGACATTGTAGTACTAAAGGAGAAATACTTCTGCTGAGACTGGGAATGTTGTGCAATAGGTTAAGCCACTGCCTGTGATGCGGATATCCTGCATAAACCAGTTCAACTCATGGCTTCCCATCTGCTTCTCGGTCAGCTTCCCACTGTCAGGCCTGGGATAGCAGCAGAAGGTAGTTCAAACTTTAGGGCCCCTGCCACACATGTGGGAGATGTAGATGGAGTTCCAGGCTCATGGCTTCAGCCTGAGTCCCCCACTGTTACAACACTTACTTTCCTTCTTTCTTCCTTTCTTTCTTTCTTTCTTTCTTTCTTTCTTTCTTTCTTTCTTTCTTTCTTTCTTTCTTTCTTTCTTCCTTCCTTCCTTCCTTCCTTCCTTCCTTCCTTCCTTCCTTCCTTCCTTCCTTTCTTTCTTTCTTTCTTTCTTTCGGAATTAGTTTTTATTGAAAATCGGATTTACAGAGAGAAAGAGAGAGAAAAAGGTTTTCCATCCACTGGTTCACTCTCCAAATGGCTGCAGTGGCTGGAACTAAGCTGATCCAAAGCCAGGAGCTAAGAGCTGCTTTTGGACACCAGAGTCCCAAGGTTTTGGGCCATCCTTGATTGCTTTCCCAGGCTGCAAGCAGGGAGCTGGATGGGAAGTGGAGCAGCTTGGATACAAACCAGTGCCCATATGGGAATTCGGTGCATGCAAGGCTAGGACTTTAGCCACTAGGCTACCATGCCTGCCCTGTTATAACAGCTTTAAGAGTGAACCAGCAGATCAAAGTGTGTGTGTGTGTGTGTGTGTCTCCCTATTTATTTTGTAATGCTGGATTACAAATCTTTACAAAAATGCTACCATGCATTGATACTCTATAAATATTTTATTGTTTTCCTTTTTTTTTAACATTTATGTAACTTCCAGATTTCCCTTTTATGATCACTGTTGTAGATATAAATATGTATCTGGAGGGTTAGAATATATTTCTAGCTGTGATGTGAGATCATTCATTCTGCGTGTATCGGCATTGGTAAAACTTCACATTGATGTATTGAGAAGATAATAGAGATGATGCAGGGGACACTTGGGCTCCTGGTTAAGATGCCAGTTATGATGCCCACAGCCCAAACCAGGATGCCCAAAGTTGATAACCAGCCCTCACTCCTGACTCCACCTTCAT